TGACAAAATACAACTATTAGCATACCGTTAACCTAGTACACTTACACAAATCACATCTGCACATTTAAACCATGAATTCACTATTTGTTCCAATACTTTTTGTCATACTTTTTATGTAGTTCATCATTACTAGAAAAATATGTAAACAAAAAAAAAAAATATTATACAAAATCAGCAGTTGATAATTAAACTGAATTATTTCTTCATATATCATGTAAATAATTTTAAGAATATAGATACACACAAAACATGTATCAAATCATTATGTGAATACAAACTGTGAAAACAATTGCAAAACAGATTCAATGATATTAAATATAAAAATCTTAAGCAGAGAATTAAAAAAAAAAGATTCATTTTTAGTTTACTTTCGTAAGAAGTAAGTTAAGGCTGGGTTTGTGTGCCATAATCAGTTACAGTTTAAAGAAATGTATTACATTTACATTTTTGAGTTTAACATAAAAATATTTTAAGTTTAATAAAACTTAATTATAAAACTTATAATTATAATAATATTTTTAAAAACTTTAGGAACAAGGGAAGCGCTGTTTGGAGGTAACTCTGAGCAAAAAACATTTCTGCTGTTTGATTGGATGGTCTACAAGACATGTTGTAGCGTGGCCAAGGCAGCAAGTATCAAGATTAGAACGGACGAGAGGTGCTGGACGCCTGAGCAGGGGTTCCCGTTTTCATCCATTTGTGTCCTCTTGGGCAGGTCACAGTTGTTCTTGTAGACTCCCAGACAGGCAGAGTACATCATGACGTTTCCGATGTAGGACTGCTCGTGTGTGGCGTGGAACATGTGGGCCATTGGGCCTAGAGGGAAAGATAAAATTATCATGTTAAAATATGTGGGCCTAGAAGAAAAGATAAAATTAGCATGTTAAAATGTGTGGGCATTAAGGAAAAGATAAAATTAGCATGTTAAAATATGTGGGCCTAGAAGAAAAGATAAAATTAGCATGTTAAAATATGTGGGCCTAGAGGAAAAGATAAAATAAACATGTTAAAATTTGTGGGCCTAGAGGGAAAGATAAAATTAACATGTTAAAATATGTGGACCTAGAGGGAAAGATAAAATTAATATGTTAAAATGTGTAGGCCAAGAGGAAAAGATAAAATTAACATGCTAAAATATGTGGGCCTAGAAGGAAAGATAAAATAAAATGTTCAAATATGTGGCCGTAGAAGAAAAGATAAAATTAGCATGTTAAAATATGTGGGCCTAGAGGAAAAGATAAAATTAACATGTTAAAATATGTGGGCCTAGAGGAAAAGATAAAATTAACATGTTAAAATGTGTAGGCCTAGAGGGAAGGATAAAATTAACATGTTAAAATATGTGAGTCATTAGGCCTAAAGGGAATATTAAATTAACTAATTAAAATGTTAGTCCTTAAGGGAAAGGTACAATCAACTCATGTAAATATGTGGGAGAGTAGAGTTAGAAAGACTATGTGTGAAATTGGCCATACAGGATAAGATGAACTTAACTTATAAAAGCTGTAAGTCTTACAGTGAAATGTAGGATGGGCTACTTAAAATGAAACAAAAAATCTTTCAATTTAAGCAGAAAAAAACCTTTACAATTTAAGATGGACTAATAAAATTAAAGCATAAAAAAATCTTTCAATTTAAGATTGACTAATAAAATTAAAGCATAAAAAAATCTTTCAATTTAAGATTGACTAATAAAATTGAAACAAAATATTTACAATTTTAGATGGGCTAATAAAATTGAAACATAAAAAATCTTTACAAAGTAAGATTAACTAATAAAATTAAAGCATAACATTTTTGTGCAATTTAAGATGGGCTGATAATATTAAAACAAAAAATCTTCACAATTTTCGATGGACATAAAATTGAAGCATAAAAAATATGTACAGTTTGTATCTGCAAGTGCTGATTTGGGGGTGGTTGCTATGGGAGTGAAATAGCTTTTGAAAGTTTAAAGAGAACTTGAGTTGGACCTACCTTGAGCAAATATAGCAACATCTTCGCCACCATGCGTTTCGTAACCCATCTCTATACAGCCAGGAAACTGGTAATCATTGTCTGTTTAAAAAAATGTCATGTTTTTAAAAGTGAGATAGAACTTTGTCATTTACTGTACCAGAGATTTCATTAAAAAGGCTTAGTGGTCATCCATAATTTTGTGACATTGTGTTATGAGGGGGGGGGGGGGGGGGGGATTTCAGATGTTGTGACATGATACTTTTGCATTTAAAAAAGTAATGTTAGCAACTTAGTTTTAGTTATTATTTTATGTTTAAAAACAATTTTTGTAAATTGTATATTGTCAGTCAATATTTAGAAATATATATATATTAAAAAGTAATGAAACTGCAATTTTTTTGAAGGGGGGGGGGGGGGTAGATGTAGACCAAATTTGGTCATTTTGGGAGGGGTCCAGCTTTTTGTAAGAAAGAGAGTGGAGGTTTCAGGGCTAAGTTTAGGTTAGGGTTCAATTTCGATGACAAAAACATGGCTGATAAAAACTTGATTATTAAAATATAGTTAACATGTTTGTATAACAGATCCACAATTCAGTAGTTTTAAATTAAGCTGTAATAAGTATGAAATTACCTTGTGTAAAGAGATAATGAATTTTGTTGTAACAAGTGTGAGCTAAATGATGAATGAACATCTTACCTGTCGTGTTTACGTCTGTTAAATTTTTTCTGCCAATGGCTGGGCCATTCAGGTAACCCAGCGTTGTGTAGGGTAATAAATCTTTCGGAGGCTCCAGCTTTATATTTGTTAGACCTGATGCAAAATTAAAACTAAATTAACTTTCAAACAAGTTATACTTCTTACATTGTAATTACCTGAGATAGTTTTCCAATATATTTCTATTTACATTAAATGTTAGTAAGTAGGAGTACGTCAAATAAATAATTTTTGATATAGGATGGAAGAAGATTTTCTAAAATTCTAAACATTATACTTGAAAAGCCTAATTATTTAAAACTAATTTAGAAGTATTTCAATAATTATGATATAAAATTCCATGATTAGGCCTATGGCAAATAAATACTTTTTTAAATTGGACAGGGAATTATATTTATAAAATGTAAATAAAAAACAATTTAAAATAAACCTTAAAAACTGAATAGCATTTCAGTTCTATAGGTTTAAATCTCAGTGTGTGAATTAGCCTTGAGGTTATTACCCAAAATATTATTCCCTCTCACTGGGTAGCCAGCTATTGTAAACACGTGTGAATGGTCAGCTGTGACGATTGTTAGCGTGTCTTCAACAGAGGTCAGCTTAGTAACTTTTTCAACTGCAGATTACAAAATTTCAGTATCACATCACAACATTTTAATTAAAAAAAACTTTTAAAAAGTAATAGTTCACCTGTAGTAAAATAAAGATTATTGTTACGTTCGGATTAGTTTCAACTCAAGAGACGATTCATGTTTACTTCAATACTTTTATTCGGTCTCAATTCTTTACACATAACAGAGCAGCCCTCGTCCTAACCGTTACCAACTAACCCACGCTCCCCCCTACAATCGTTCACTCGCCCGCATTCAACCTAGGGATTACAATACATAAACACACCGGGGTTACTACACATTAGGGTGAACTCAACTCACACACGTACTCTCCCCTAAGTTCGAGACTATTCTACCCTATTCAGTGGCGTAGCGAGGTCGGGTGTCACCCGGTGTGGCACTTAATGGTGTCACCCCCCCCCCCCCCCCAGAGGTGTAGCGACCCTTCCCGGGGGACAAATTTTCGATTTGCAACCCCCCTCAAACTTTCAATTTGCACCCACCACCCTCAAGTTTTCGATTTGCACCCCCCTCAAGTTTTTCTCTATATATTTTGCTATTTTTGCCTTAATGTCACCCCCCCCCCCCCTAAATGGTGTCACCCGGTGCAGTCAGCACCCCCCCCCTTTGCTACGCCCCTGACCCTATTCTACCCTGACCTCAAATGACCCGTAACAATTATTGAACCTTAATTTGTTTACCTGCATCATCAAAAGCATGGGCCTCCCCTAGGGCTAGCTTTGCATTGTTGCTATGGTGACCGTGATCAATCCTTCCACCTAAAATTTAAATTTAAAATTAACTTTCGATTTTTAAGGAAATGGAAAATAAAATTGGCTTACTTGATCTTTTCAACAGAAATTTTGCAAAACAAACAGACGAATTAGCAATTTAATAAATTGAACAGTGAAATATATATGTAATCAGATTAGGCCTAATACAATTTATTTCACAATTTGTTTTATTAAAAAAAAAACATCTTAAAAAAATTGTAACTTTAAAGCTTTCAAAGGTTTTAATGTAGTAATTCTGTTCTTAAAAAAGTTGTGAATGATAAAGTGAGTTATTGGCCATGAAATACCTTCAATCAAAAGGAAATACCCCTTAGGATTTTTCTTTAGGATTCCAATGGCCTTGTCTACCATATCCTGCAAGGTAGGATCCTGATCTTTATTTCTTTTCAGGTCATACTCCATGTGACCAGGTGAAAAAAGGCCTGTTTAAAAAAAAATTTCTTTAATATAAAAAAGTTCATGTAATAGGTTTTCAATTAAGTTAAAACTATGAGAATTATTTTTATTTATTTAAAAACTCAAGCAATTTAAATACACATTTTTTTTGCTATACAGATGCAATATTGACAGAAATGCAGAACATTTATAAATTGAGTTAATATAGTTATTTCCCTTACTACAAATGCATTGTTTTCCCTATCATTATGAGTTAAACTTGTATGCTTGTAATGAGTTGGTATACTTTGTAACAATTGCTTATAATCATCATAATAAACAGTTATTTTCACTATAATATTGTAAGATTAATAATAATTTATATATTATATTACATGATTTATAATAATAATATATCTGTTGTTATAACGAGCAGTATAATATGTTGAAATTATGTGTTTTACCCAGTAGGAAATCTGTATTACTGACATCAACATTTTCCAATGCTGTTTTGTTTTGAACGTAGGTGTACTTTAAGTTCCTGCTACTTTTATCAGCTTTCCACTCCTGGGGTACAAGATTTAAAAAGAAATAATAAGAAAACAGTCAGTATTATTGTCTTCTACTCTTCTACTAGCACAATGTTCCACACTGCTAGTTAGTAGGTTACTTTTACTGTGTGTTCGCACTTTAAAAGTCACTTTAAACTTTAAATGTTAAAATACTACTGTTCACACTTTAAAATAATTAATATGTAGGCCTACTACTCTACTACACACACTAGTCTAGAACTAGAACCATTGATGATTGAATATGAATAATCATTAAAAATCACTATGACACACTACTTTACACCACTACTACCCCTCTACTCTCTACGGTACTGTACTCTACAATACAAATTAAGGCGTTACTGTTACAAACCTAAAACAAAGCTTGAAATAAGTTGAAATAACAAATGAACTTACGTTGATGAGATTTCGCCCATCTAACCTTTGACCTCTCTCACTTCCGTCACTGTTTGTTTGGTTCAGAAAGTATCTTCTACCACCTCCAAGTATGACCTTAACAACATCAAATTCTAAAATTAAACTTTTTAAAGATCCCTTAAGCTAAATGGTTTTTATTATATCAGAATAAAATATGCATCTTCACTAAGCCTACACCTATACGATATTACATCATGGAGCAGCATAATTGCATAATACTAAATACAAATCGAAACAATTAAATGTTAATATTAATTTTATCTGCTATAAAATAGCTTTATCTAAAATTCTATTAACGAGTATAAAAAAAATAAATATAAAATCTGGCAACCCGGATGTGAGGAGTGTCTGATTGAAAAAAAAAATGCGTTTAAAAAAATATTTGGATACTATGGACTAAAAGCGGTATTACAAAAACAAATAACTAAAAAGTTATTAAAAAAAACCACTAACGCACGTTATTAAAGGTAACTAGCGAAAACATTCCTACAGAACTTTAATGGAAATAAACAGAACATTCCGTTTCTTTTCAGTGACTGGATTGGGAAATATTTGCTTTACTTAGCATCGATCTAAACTAAAAATTACAAGTCAAACTTGTATAAATTTGATGGCAAAAATCACATGATTATACTTGCATTGATGTTGGGATTATCCTTGATCAGCTGGTACGCTATATCCTTGACGTGATCGCATCCTGTCAAGGCTTTCATTGGCTCGTCACACTCCCAGTCTCTGAAAGGATCACGTCAGATAGACAAAAGAATACGTCAGATAGAGTATGACGCCAGATCGATATGATCAAGAAATGTGTAAGCCTTATAAGTTAAATGCTCTATTATCGTGTATATATATATATATATATATATATATATATATATATATATATATATATATATATATATATATATATATATATATATATATATATATATGAATCTGTACAAAACATGTATGTATTATGTAAATGATGTATACCCTCCTGTATACCCTATGTTGTGTTTTGCCAAGGGCACTGCATGCCTTATAAAATATATCCAAACTCCGTTTATTTATGCCCTATGTTCTGGTTGTCTTATGAACTTAATACTCCATGTTCTGTATGCCTTATGTACTGTATGCTCTAGGTTCTGTATGTCCTATGCAATGTTTGCCATATCTCCTGTGTGCCCTGTGCACTGCAAGCCTTATACATTATACCTCCTGGAATAGTTTAGAATCTGTTGATGCTATAACTGTATTTCTGCATTTTACCAGCCCCCCCCCCCTTCCATTAACTAAGCATTAAACCGTATTTCGATACCAGGTTCAAATTTCGCCCCCCCCCCCCTCCTTATATCAGCACCAGACTATGACCGTATTTCCGTACCAGGTTCAAATTTCGCCCTCCCCCCGCCCTCCTTATATCAGCACCAGACTATGACCGTATTTCCGTACCAGGTTCAAATTTCGCCCCCCCCCCCGCCCTCCTTATATCAGCACCAGACTATGACCGTATTTCCGTACCAGGTTCAAATTTCGCCCCCCCCCCGCCCTCCTTATATCAGCACCAGACTATGACCGTATTTCCGTACCTGGTTCAAATTCCCCCCTCCTTATATCAGCACCAGACTATGACCGTATTTCCGTACCTGGTTCAAATTCCCCCCTCCTTGTATCAGCACCAGACTATGACCGTATTTCAGTACCTGGTTCAAATCCCCCCCCCCCCTTCCTTATATCAGCACCAGACTATGACCGTATTTCCGTACCTGGTTCAAATTTCGCCCCCCCCCCTCTTTATATCAGCACCAGACTATGACCGTATTTCCGTACCTGGTTCAAATCCCCCCCCCCCCCTTTAATTTACTGCTACTCACCTGTGAGGCACACGTGCGTAGGTAGCAGCTGGCGTGGCGTGAGTTACGGTCGTTGTGGTAACAACTCCAACAGACATGCCTGGTCAAGGTAGGAAATGTGGGGTTGATGTAAACAGTGTTTATTACAGGGCAAGAGGAGTGGGATTTTGATAAGAAAAGTAGGATTTTGATCAGAAAAGTGGGGTTTTTACAAGAAAAGTGGGATTTTGACAAGAAAAGTGGGGTTTTGATAAGAAAAGTGGGGTTTTGATAAGAACAGTGGGGTTTTGATAAGAAAAGTGGGGTTTTGATAAGAAAAGTGGTGATTTTGACAAGAAAAGTGGGGTTTTGATAAGAAAAGTGGGGTTTTGACATGGAAAGTGGGGTTTCGATAAGAAAAGTGGGGTTTTGACAAGAAAAGTGGGGTTTTGACAAGAAAAGTGGGGTTTTGACAAGAAAAGTGGGGTTTAGCAGTATTATGCCCTACCATTCGACCACGCCGTCCCACAATATAATATTGAGCACATTATTATTTGCTTAGAGGTGTCGGCGTGGTCGGGTCGGTAAAGCTCAAGGCTGCTACACTGTCAAGGTTTCGAGTTCGAACCCCATGACAGATGAGTCTCTATATAGACAACTCCAAAATTAAAACATTGCTGCCTTGTAAATTATTCTTAGATACAGGTTATGGATTGCAAAAAAAAAAAAATAAATAAAAAAATAAAAAATAAATAAAAAAATAATAAATAAATAAAAATTAGAAAAAAATCAGAGTTTACAAGTTACACTTCATTGTGTTGGAAGAAATCCGGTATGCATTATAATTAAGAACGAAGAAGAAGCATTGCTGATATATACCTTCCTCCTGGGCGTGGTGGAGGATTGTCTTTAGCTTGGTGCTCTCGGAGACTTTCGAGCAGTCGGTGCCGAACTTCACCTCCCCGGTTACCCCCAGGGTGCCGAAGTTGACCTTGATCCCAGTCGTCATGGCAACGGCGGTCCCCGCGCTGTCAGGGACTTGGTAGTCTAGGTTATACGTCTGCAAAAAGGTCAAGGTTGGAGCCCGATAAGTTACAATTTTAATTTTTAATCAATAGATTCTGTGGATTATGAACAGCTAAAATAGTATGACATTCCGGGTAAATATTTGGCATTAAAATTCTGTTGGTTTTGTTGGCATCAAAATAGATATATCCCTTCAGTCACCAGGGTTTAATTCAAACATTTTTTTTCTGGAGGAGGGTGTGGGTGAGGGGTTAAGGACATGTGCAAATTTAGGTGGGTGCACTTAAAATTTTCGCTTGGGGAGAGGGACGAACACTGGTTTAAGTATATATTTTCAATACAAATTCGATACTTTTTTTTAATTTCATCCGGAGAGGGACAGAGGGAGGGAAGGCGGTGGACGTGCGTCAGCAGATGCATGTAAGACATTCTGTTGGTCAGATCATGAGACCCATTTTGACTGTGATTATAATACTAACTGTAAAATACTACACGTGCACCTCAGGCAAGCCCATAACCAAATATATCACTTAATCAAACTTAAACACTAAATTAATCTTACATCAAACACTAATTTTTACTCTAAAAACACTAAACCCAAACCAAAGCAGGATCTAACCATGATTCTAATACAGAGCCTAAGCTTTAACGAAACCAAAGAAGTAACCATAGAAGTAATCATAGAAGTAACCATAGAAGTAACCATACAAAACCAAAACCAAATGGTACCCAATATCTTACTTCTACACCGAACAGTACCTTTAACCAAACTATTGCCCTTACCAACAGTAAACCTTCTAAATTAAAATCTTAATGTAAACTTTAACCGAACACCAACAACTTGATGTCAATAAAAAAAAAACCTGCTCAGTAAAAACAAATGAAAACAGACCTTTGAGAGGGCATGGTACGGAAACTTCTCGAAGCTCAGCTTAAATTCCTCCCCTTTCAGTCCGAGGGTCTGACCTTTGTAGATCCTGGCCGCGGTGATGGTGGACACGCCCATCCCGTCCCCCACCATCAGAATGACGTTCTTGGCCTTCTTGTAGTTGGGCTGGAGCTTCCAGACTTTCTCAAACTCGGACTTGGCATCTTGTCTCCAGTGGTCGGGTCCTGGGGGTGGAGAGTGTGGGTCGGATTAGGGTTGATGTGTGTGATGGGGAGGGGGATAGAGAATGTGGGGCGGGTTAGGGTTGATGTGTGTGATGGGGAGGGGGGGGACCTGGAGAGTGTGGGTCGGATTAGGGTTGATGTGTGTGTGTGTGTGTGAGGGTGGGGGGGGGGGTGGAGAGTGTGGGTCGGGTCAGGGTTGAAATGTGTGATGGGGGTGGGGAATGGAGAGTGTGGGTCGGGTTAGGGTTGATGTGTGTGATGGGGAGGGGATAGAGAATGTGGGGCGGGTTAGGGTTGATGTGTGTGTATGGGGGGGATGGAGAGTGTGGGTCGGGTTAGGGTTGATGTGTGTGTGACGGGGGGGGGGACCTGGAGAGTGTGGGGCGGGTTAGGGTTGATGTGTGTGTATGGGGGGGATGGAGAGTGTGGGTCGGGTTAGGGTTGATGTGTGTGTGACGGGGGGGGGGGGGACCTGGAGAGTGTGGGGCGGGTTAGGGTTGATGTGTGTGTATGGGGGGGATGGAGAGTGTGGGTCGGGTTAGGGTTGATGTGTGTGTGACGGGGGGGGGGGGGACGTGGAGAGTGTGGGTCGGGTTAGGGTTGATGTGTGTGTGACGGGGGGGGGGGACGTGGAGAGTGTGGGTAGGGTTAGGGTTGATGTTTGTGTGTATGGGGGAGGGTGTACTAGCGTCGATGTAGATAAACAATAATATGGCTTCTATTTAATATAGTGATGGAAAAACAAATAAGAGATGCGCATTGGTGTTTGAGATGTTGCTTTTTAAAGAGTTTTATATGTTTCATGACCTCGGTATGTGAAGTGATGGTGTGGCTATATGTGCCGCTACATACTAAAAAAAAAGGGCCCAAGATACAAGTTCTACACGATATTCACCCCCCAGAAAGTTTGAACCTCAGGTTGATTTAAAACATGTTATTTACTGACAATTAATGTCTTATAAACCGTTTGATTTACCGACAACTGTCTTGAAGGCAACATGTTTATTTGCGAGCAATAAAACCGTAAATAATGAGTTAAAGCAATAAAATAACAATGGGGGACTTTTACAACAGGGGCCGTCTTTAAAGATCACTTATTTATGGACGAAGAGATAGCTTGGAGTGTTTCAATCGTGTCACTCTTTGTGGGTTTTATCATTGTCAGCATGGAAGTAATCAGAGGCGTAGCGACCCCTCCCGGCGCAAACTTTAATTTGGCGCCCCCATATATTTTTTTATATTTATAATTCAAAATAGCAGCTAAAATGAGCTTATTTTGGCGCCCCTAGGGTCGGCGCCCGGGGACATATGTAGCTCCCCCCAGAGGCGTAGCGAGGGGGGGGGGGCGGGGGGGGGACATATGTCCCCGGGCGCCGACCTTAGGGGGGGGGCGCCAAATTGAAAGTTTGAGGGGGGTGCAAATGAAAAGTTCGAGGGGGGGGGGGGTGCAAATCGAAAGTTTGTCCCCGGGCGCCGGGAGGGGTCGCTACGCCTCTGCCCCCCCCCCCCGTCGCTACGCTTCTGGAAGTAAGGGAATGGTGGGATGGAGGAGGGGATGGGTAGCAGAGATGCACTTAGATGATGATTAATTAGAGGTCAAAGTTCAGAATTTGGTTGCTGTGCGCTCGTGGTATTTAGTAAATATGGAGCGTAGGGTATAAAAGAAATAGGCCCATAGTCCTACAAAGTCCAAAGACCGCGGATGAGTTAGGGTTTAGGACGTTACCCCCCACGTTATTCCCCGGTCATTACCCCTCTAATAAATTACCCCTTGTATACTAACCCCCCTTTCCCCCCCCCCCTCTGGTTATTACCCCGACTCTCGAGAATACAAGTTATAAAAGTTCCTGGCAAAGCTAGAAACAAAGTAATGCTTGGTTGTGGTGGTAGGGAGGGGATGATGACCGGTTGTAACTAACAGGGGGGAGGGGGGGGGGTAATGTCCTTTACCCCTGGGCCTTAATAGACCAAAAAGAAAGACATCGGCCCATTTAACAAGAAGCCTATATACGGCACATCCCACAGCGAGACCAAAACAACCAACACAATAAAACTAAGGGGGGGGGGGGGAGAAGACGATATTTGAACAATCTACTAACCCGTGCCTACACATCTCTATTTAGTTAATTAATTAATTAATTATTTACATATATGTGAAATAGCCTACCCAGAGGGTTACAATTTTTTACAAGTATTAGATCTAATTTTGCCAGTTCAAAGAGTTTTTTGTGTATACTCACCTTCGTTTTCATCTGCACGGCTGAATGAAACCAGCAGTCCCAGGATCAAACCCAGCCCGCACTTCATGATCACTGTGGGGGCAACAAGAAACACACCTGGTTAATTAAGCGGTCAAGTAATTATGTCATTAACCGCGGTCATTTAAATAAATAATGAATGCAATACAGACTGTATGGGAAGATTGTGTATTGTAAATCGTGAGGGAGGGGTGGGGTGAGGGAGGGTTATCGTGAGGGAGGGGTGGGGTGAGGGAGGGTTATCGTGAGGGAGGGGTGGGGTGAGGGAGGGTTATCGTGAGGGAGGGGTGGGGTGAGGGAGGGTTATCGTGAGGGAGGGGTGGGGTGAGGGAGGGTTATCGTGAGGGAGGGGTGGGGTGAGGGAGGGTTATCGTGAGGGAGGGGTGGGGTGAGGGAGGGTTACTGAGTTCCTGGTGTGGTTAATGGTGTGTGGGTGGGACTTGCTTAAGGCCGGGGTGTGGTTAAAGGTGTGTGGTGGGGGCTTGCTTAAGGCAGGGGTGTGGTTAAATGTGTGTGGTGGGGGCTTGCTTAAGGCAGGGGTGTGGTTAAAGGTGTGTGGTGGGGGCTTGCTTAAGGCCGGGGTGTGGTTAAAGGTGTGAGGTGGGGGCTTGCTTAAGGCAGGGGTGTGGTTAAAGGTGTGTGGTGGGGACTTGCTTAAGGCAGGGGTGTGATTAAAGGTGTGCGGTGGGGGCTTGCTTAAGGCAGGGGTGTGGTTAAAGGTGTGTGGTGGGGGCTTGCTTAAGGCAGGGGTGTGGTTAAAGGTGTGTGGTGGGGGCTTGCTTAAGGCCGGGGTGTGGTTAAATGTGTATAGTGGCGGCTTACTAAAGACCGTCGAGTATTTAAGGTGTGCGGTGGGGGCTTAAAGACTGTGGTGTGGTTAACGGTGTGAGGTGGGTGCATGGGGTGGGTTACATTATGTTTCCGTATGTGCGGAGGGTAAATTTGTGGTGTTGTTTAACGGTTTACTGTAAAGACACCCGTAATATATCAGCTAAGGAATAAACACTCCAGTTTATGGCTTTGTTTTGTTGTCTCCCATCTTATAGTAACAAAAAGCAGTATTTAACGCGATCTGGTGCTTGAACAGACTGTAAATAGCCCTCCAGTTCTTGTCTAAACCTATCAAGTGGTTCTCATCTAAGCGACCACCGCCTTACTCTTGTTGTTGATAATTTGAGGTTTTTCTATTTTAATCCTAAACTAACCATAACCATTGCCCTAAACGTGAACACAAACTCTAGGCATAAAATCTAGCTTTCAGAATTAGACGAACAGAAATTAATCGAGCATTTCAACAAATATTTACGCTTTAATAAAAAAAAATAAAAATAAAAAAAAAAAAAGAAAAAAAAACAAAAAAAAAAAAAAGAAAAAAAAACACGAGTTTCTAAGATATAGTCGAACTAAAGCAAAACGAAATAAAGAGTAAAAAGATTAGTACGAAAAAATCAAAAGTTTAACAGAAATTTAATTTAGATCTAGATAATATTATGAAACCGTTGATTCTTCTAGTGCTTTTATTCGAATAGCTTCTTAATAAAACTCTATATGCCAGAAAATTTTAGTAATGAGTTGATTAAAAATATTCGAATAATTACTCCCAACAGAAACAAAATTTCAAACTGCGAATGCGCTTAATAAATCGCTTTAAAACAGACCTACTTCGGTGTTTTTTTTCTTCGTGTAGACATTCCGGTAATTAGTTTAGTGAAACCATTAACGCAGGTCACTTCCTGTTGCTTCTCTACTTAATCGCTGTGGTTAGAGCGAAGACAAATTATCTCCTTTAAATTAAATTAGCACTGGAATGTTTTACCATTGCCATACGTCTTGCCGGTAAAAGCTGTAATGTGTGTTAATGAATGGCTTTAGTAGGGATATTTTTAGCTTCACGTGATAAATAGGAATACATTTTAAAAGCGGGAAGTGTTTTTTTTTTTTAAAATACAGCTGAAAAAACAAACACAAAATATTGCACGTTTGATCGTTTGCTCTACCCCCTGACCTCCCACCTCCCCCCATCACCTACTGCTTGACAAGTGAGTGGTGGATTTGATCGTTTATTCACACTTTGATTAATTTCGTCTCGCTTATCAAAATCATAAACAAAAAAAAACGTAATAAAATTCATCATATACAATAATACTTATTTCTATAAAACCAAAACTAAACTCGAATCCAAACGGTCGATGATTATATTTCCATTGAGGAAAAAAAAATATTTCTTCTTCTTCGTTCTTAATTGAAATATTAAACGTTATTTCATTCAACACAATTATCAATTAAGTATTCCGTGTCTACCGTTTATGCGCCATATAGTTGACTCAGATTTCAGCCTGCTTTTCTTTTTGGGTTAGCTTCCACGGCATTTGTCCAACTAAGAACAAAATACACGGCAGCAGTTGTTTGATTTTGGAAGAATTGTTGTCCTCATCTATCGAGGCTCATCTACCAGGACTCAGGCTCGAACTCGGGACTTTTCGGTTTAACAGCATTATAAATGAATTAAGATTTGTCAGTGCCCGAAAAATGTCTCCAGACACACACAGCGCGCGCGCACACACGCATTCACACACACAAACGCAACAGTAGTACCTCATCCGTATATAGAATCTGGACATCAGCGTCTAGACACCAGTCTACAGATATAGCGTCTAGACACCAGTCTACAGATATAGCGTCTAGACATCAGTCTACAGATATAGCGTCTAGACACAAGTCTACAGATATAGCGTCTAGACATCAGTCTACAGATATAGCGTCTAGACATCAGTCTACAGATATAGCGTCTAGACACCAGTCTAAAGATATAGCGTCTAGACACCAGTCTACAGATATAGCGTCTAGACATCAGTCTACAGATATAGCGTCTAAACACAAGTCTACAGATATAGCGTCTAGACACAAGTCTACAGATATAGCGACTAGACACCAGTCTACAGATATAGTGCCTAGACACCAGTCTACAGATATAGCGTCTAGACATCAGTCTACAGATATAGCGTCTAGAAACCAGTCTACAGATATAGCGTCTAGACATCAGTCTACAGATATAGCGTCTAGACACCAGTCTACAGATATAGCGTCTAGACACCAGTCTACAGATATAGAGTCTAGACACCAGACTACAGATATAGCGTCTAGACATAAGTCTACAGATATAGCGTCTAAACACAAGTCTACAGATATAGCGTCTAGACACAAGTCTACAGATATAGCGACTAGACACCAGTCTACAGATATAGTGCCTAGACACCAGTCTACAGATATAGCGTCTAGACATAAGTCTACAGATATAGCGTCTAGACACCAGTCTACAGATATAGCGTCTAGACACCAGTCTACAGATATAGCGTCTAGACACCAGCCTACAGATATAGCGTCTAGACATCAGTCTACAGATATAGCGTCTAGACATCAGTCTACAGATATAGCGTCTAGACATCAGCGTCTACAGATATAGCGTCTAGACACCAGTCTACAGATATAGCGTCTAGACATCAGCGTCTACAGATATAGCGTCTAGACACCAGTCTACAGATATAGCGTCTAGACATCAGCGTCTACAGATATAGCGTCTAGACACCAGTCTACAGATATAGCGTCTAGACATTAGTCTACAGATATAGCGTCTAGACACGTCTACAGATATAGCGTCTAGACATCAGCGTCTAGACACCAGTGTTTCTTCCAGACTTTTTTCTCCGGGGGGGGGGGGGGGCATTTGATATTTTCGGAGGAGGAGGCGGTCAACATTTTACGGGTGGGGGGCGGACACTGCTAAAAGCATGTTTACTATATAAATTCCATGTCAATCGGGGGGAGGGGGGGGGCAACCCCCCCCCCCCCCACCTCGAAGAGATGTCTGGAAGAAACTCTACTAGACACCATCCCACCTTTGTAAAGAAAATCTTACATCTAAACACCAGTCTTGAACACAACAGGTAAATGCTTCACGGTACATCATTGGAATGGGTTTTAGAAGTGAAGCTATACATTTCCAAAATGGGGTTCTAATAAATAAGGATTTAAAATAACAAACGAGGTATCCAAAGTTGGTTTTGATCTTCAGGAAAAAATATATTTTAAAAGTCGTTTAAGAAAACATTAGACAAAGTATAAAATACATCTAAAATATTACCTGCTTAAAAACTCAAACTAAGTTTACAACAAACGTGATTAAATACAATGTTTCAATAAACCGACAAACTATAAAATAAATCTTTACCTGCTTTAAAATCCAATCCAAGTTTACAACAAACGTAATTAACTAGAACATTTCATTAAACTGGCAGCCCAGGTGCAGTTACGACGGATACAACTTCCTAGCAGCAGTATTTATATAACCGCCATAGATAACACCGCGCCACTATAAGAACCGTACACCCCACCCCCAACCTGTCTCCCCCCCCCCCCCCCCCATGCCTGCAACACCACCACATGGCCTGTAGGTTGTAAGGGGAAAAAACAGCAAGTTCCACAATAAAAGAATGCAGCTGTCAGTCAACTGTCCGCGGTAAAGGTATGCGGAATATATATAAATATATATATATATATATATATATATATATATATATATATATATATATATATATATATATATATATATATATATATATATATATATATATATATATATATATATATATATTTATATATATTTATATATATATAATTTCTTAGAATTGTCATACGCGATCGTTATTATTCCATTCCACGAATGCATCGTTTATTAATATAAGTGTTACATGTCATAACGACATTTAAGGCATATAGATTTGTAGAACATTCAAATAGATCTAGTAGCTATGTGCTGCTAACCAACACTGTTGTTAGAAAAAAAAATACAATATACAATATGTAAATTTAATAGCTCTGGTCATAAAAGAGGTAAACTCAATAAACTATTGTTGAATGACTTTCATTGGCTTTGGTTTTACATGTGTATGAATATAATGACAGCCTGTTGATTGAGTATAGTTCACTCTTCAGGTGTAAAACTAGTTTTGGCCCCGTCAAACAGACGAGATACAAACAGGCCTTTGCCAGAAAAT